TGGGGCCAGTTATAGGTAGATAAGAATAAAATAGAATAGAAAATAATTTATTTATTTATCTACAAGAAGCATGGTACAAAAAGATCTTAGAGCTAAACAGTGAACTTCATACTTCGCCATATACTTATGTATAAATGGCATGCAAAAATTTAATTTTAAGGATTCGGGAAATAGGGAAACTTAGTGCCTAAGGAAGGAAAAGTGTAACTGTAGTGTGTGCGTTTTAAGTCAGACTTACTGACTTTAAACACCCTGTTCCTTTTCTTACTCCAAAGTACTCCGGACCGAGCCGGCTGTAGATACATCATTGCGGTCGCACCGCAACTGCCTAGATAGAGAGATAGGCACTATCTAAATTACCTATACCCCGACGACGGATTGTTGGAGATTGAAAATAAAAAAGTGACTGGATTTATGAGACAATTTAAAACACTTTTAACAACATCAGGGGCCCGAGTCTACTATTTCAAACTGTTGTCATTCCTACACGATTCCATTGTAATTTTGCTAAAAGTTCGTAAACTGTTAATTCAAAATGGCTGATCATTGACGTTCAGCGATGTCGTAATAGAATTATAGTACTTACCAGATGTCTTTTAACGAATTATAAACAATAACTGCACATTATTATTCTTAACTTAAATCATTGAATAAAGGAAGAAAGGAACTATTAATTTACCGCATTATGTCAATATTCATTTGTCATTATGTACGAGATTACCGTTTTAAAGAATTATTTCAATAAAGTGGCATTGGAAATTCATAATGACGCTATCGTGTTAGTAAATTACCAAACTTGTCAAAATCAACTATTTTGAAATCAATGATCTACTATTCTGGCACTATTGTAATAGCACACTTAAGGCCCTGAATAGGAGTTTTTAGTCCTTTTTGGTCCAAAATAAAGTTATTAAAACAGCAAACCAAACTCATAAAGAAAACTAATACCATTTACCCTTATATCGCAACACGTGTTCGCCATAACTTGACCTAAATCAATCAGCTCCCCAAGTTATAAACTACGGGAATGTGTCGGCAATTACCAAGCTATCACCCGCTTGATAGCCCACTAATAGACTTGGGCTACTGCAGCTAAACTTTATTAAAGAGGACACTCTTTGTTTACGACTACGTGACGATGAACGTGCTATGTTATGAAGTCTATTTTTATAATATTATGTTGACACTGATTTAGTAGTTTCATAAGTAGGTAGGTGCAACCCTTTTTTCAAGTTTTCATACTGTTAAAATCAATTTAATCTCTTGTCAAGTCATCTGATTGGCTGACTGAATTATCAACAACCAATCAGATGACTTGACAAGAGATTTGACACCTAGTTAGTTGATTTTAACATTGATCGGGCTTTCGGAAACCTGCCATTAGTCCATAAAACGTAAATAAAGATTTTGTAGTCTTAAAATTGGAAGACGATATATGTGCTGCCATCTGTTGATATTTTTTGAAATTGTTGTCAATCGTGCAATTTATAAATTTTTCAGGCACGAAATATCAATACATAAATTTTTGGTTGTGTATAACTGGCGCTACACTTAAAACTAGATGGTTCCTCAGTTTCACTGAAGTCGCATAGTCACAGCGAATGAAATAGTTTCCCCTATAATTTCTCCTTTCAATGGTGATAATTCGAGACACAGATAAAAGAACAATAATTCAAGCGAACGCCGGCGTTCGCTTAAATTATAATTCTCTTTGAGATAATGTTCAACATTTGACCTTTTAGCACCATCTAACGATTTTATGTGGCAAGTGTAACAGTTGCGAGTACTGCATTTTTGCCTAGTCAGAAAGATAGACGTTTTGGGCCGTAAATCATTAAAAATATATTGAACATATTTTTAGGTTCAGTAAAATAGTGTCGTGCGTTCTTATTACAAACCCTATGATTGGTATGCGGTATTAGGTGTGAGGGGTATTGAAACACGAAAAATATTAATTTAATTGTTTTATTTTGTTTACTTAAAGTATAAATAAAGTTATAGCTATACACCATTATAGAACTTACCTACATCATTATGTGTTCTCTATAAATACAAGTTTACCTTTAATTTTATTATAGACGAAGCTTTATAGATAGAACTGCTACTGCTGAACATGATAAACAAACCCCTTCATGTTATTACAAAGACAAAAAATTGCTTTATTTTTGTGTATGTGTCTAACTCCAAATCTACTGGACTGATTTCAATAATTATTTCACCAATATAATGCAATATTATCTGTAAGTAACTAAGATTATAACAAGATAAAGTCTATAAAGAATGGAGTTGAGGATACACTTAGTAAAAAACCAATGTTTAAGAATGAGCAACACAGTGGTCAGTGTTGTTGACAAAAATACAATTGAAAAAAACTTGATTATAATAAAAATAATGACATTGTAGTCTAACGATCACTGAGTACATTACTGTGACATATGTGCCAGAACGAAAATGCCAAAAGTATATAGAATACTCTAAATATACAATGGAATAATACAAACAATATTTGGTCTTGCATATGCACCTCCTTTACACAATTTTATATACCCAAAAGCCACCTTATAGACATCACAATATAATTTCTTGAAAATAATGACTTACTCGTGCGAATAACCTGAGAAAAGCTCACTTTCAAGTTATACCGGAACTCTTATTCGTGAGCATGCAATTGGCACAGCCAACTTAAGTGGGCAGCCAAGTCAGTTATAATTTACAATAAATTTAGTGTCTCTTGATAGTTAAAAAATGATAATTCATTTAAATAACACATTAAATAAAATTGGTCTATATAACTTGCCATTTACAATATGACTTATGACTAACTTAGCATTAATAAACATGAACCATACCATAAATAAAAGTCCAGAAAAGAACATAAGTGAATAACGCTCCAAAGAAACCGTTGGTCAATAAACTCTGTCTAGAAACATAATATTTGCTCCAGTTCGGTCCTGTTTTTACCATAAACATCACCCATAGACTAACTACTGCAAAGACGTAGAATGCGAAGCCATAGAGTCCGGTAAGGCCTAGGACACCTGAAATTGTGAAGTTTTTAAGGTTATTTTGACATTCATAGGAACTTTTTATGGGAGTGGAGACTTGTTGTTTCTTGTGGAGAATTAAAGTGGCCTTTGTCCAGCAATTGACATCTTCTGACAGATGATGGAAAGGTTGGGACAGTACAAATATTTTTTATATACCTGAGTTGTGATTAAATCAGTCTGTAAAATTTTTAAGCTACATCAATGTAGATGTAAATTTAAACACACTAAGCAAGACTTATAAAACTATATGTAATAAATACAGGTCGTATTTATTCTCTTAAATTAATACTAAGGTCTTATTTTGAGGATATTAACACCAATTTAGTTGCTAGTGATTTAGGCCCATGCAAAGCTGGGACGGGCGACTAGTATCCAATAAATACATAACAAAAACGTTTATTTGTTCTTTTAGCCTAATAATAATAATTGGTCTATCTCATAAGAGGATATCATAGAAATGAATTATGTTTCTGTTTCTCTCTGTAGAGGTAATACGAAATTTGCATATTATTTTCTTCATTTACTTAAATTTTACGTGAAACGAGGAAAAATCACACTTCGACAAATATTAGAAGACTTAAATTACCTGCAGTCGATCCTGACAACGCAGCCATAGATGTCCTGCAATATTCAACAACTACGGCATTGTTTCTCAATGCCGCGTCGCTGTACGCCACTGGCTCAGACTTATTGTTATCTTTAGTCACTTTAGCTACAGACATCTTGTTATTTTTATTACTTCCGTTGTATAAAACAATGATATTAGAAGCTATATTTCAATATTTTCATAAAATGAATCTTCCTAATTTCTGCGGTTTTGACGTTTCATTTGACAGTTCACGTCGTTTTTTAATGACATTGACATTTTTAGTTGGGTTGTCATTTTTTCTTATCAGATTTTTTCTGTATAAGTCACCGATAGCAGCAGCTGATTGCTTATGGAAATCAGTCTGAATATTTTGCCGATCTTGAAAAATTAAGGATTTAAGATTCTTGTTATGTCTAAATGCAAAATTGATTTGGGGTTCATATTTTCTTCATAAATATTGAAATTTTCATGTAAATTAAAATATAATTCTAGAATGATTTCCGTTAATCTACCATAGACATATTGAAATGACATTTCAATGTACAATTCAAAATAAACAATGAAGCTTCAGTGGTTCCGTATATTATTATTTTATTCGTTCTTTTAAGAATGTTAAACTGAAAGTTCGTTTGATACAATAAAAATATGCACGTGTCGTTATATTTTCACGAAAGAACAATCTTAATAAACTAGTGCGCCTTACCATCAATGATTGCATCAGTGCTTACCATCAGGTGGGATCGCAGTCAAGCACTAGTTTATATGAAGTAAAAAAAAGAACAGTCTTTCTTTCACAGAGCTTATGCAATTTCTTAGAATCACTAAACTTGACATCATAATTTACGTTACTCGAAGTGGTAAACATCAGAAAGAAAGTCGCCTTAAAATTTTACACACCCTCTTCATCAAATTCTCGAAAGTTTACATACAAAATATCGGTCTTTGTCTCTTTGTAGTCCACTTACTTCGGGTCACCTAACGGTCACCTGCAGGTACAAAGTCATATTAATTATTGATTAAAATTTGAAAGCTATTATAATAAGAAAATAATACTAACAACAATTCCCTCCCTAATACTTACTGCTTAAGAAGCTGAATAGGGATAAAGAAGAAGAACCTACATTTTCGGAAGATATTGTTCTTTTATAAGGAATTGCTGGTCCAATGTGAATGTAATATTACGCTCTGTAATTTAATACGGACCCCTAAAAACGGACTATTTTGAAAGCGTCGGTAAAGCAGTAGTGAGTGATAAGAACGAAGCCATTGAACTGTGTGAAACTTTATACGTGTGTGCGTTTAAATAATACAAAAATTCTCGTTATATTCTCACGCACACATGCACAATATATTCATGTGTTTTCGCGGCACTGAGCGTCGGTATTTTTGTGGCGGAACTTATTTTCATTTGTAATTCTAAATTTAATTCATTTTAATCAATGTTTATAGTGTTATTTGCAAGATAATTTGTGATAACGTGTGTGAAAAACGCAGTGATGGTTACTGTGGGCTGGTTCTGCTCTTTTCGATGTATAAAAGTATGATGGCGCGTGTTTGACTGTGTTACTGAGTGCTTTCTCGTAACAAATTAGGACTTTGCTCGAACGATATTTGAGCGCTAATAATTCTAGTTAATATTCCTGTGTCTGTGTTATTTAACCTTTCTGAATTTGATGTTGTGACAATTATATCTGGAAACATCGTTGTGCAAAAAAGGATATTAAGTTTTCGATGTACTGTGGCTCAATTATGCACCAAGGAGACCGCCAATCTGACGATTTGCCTGGTGCAAATAGCAATCACTGACGCCACTAAACTGTACAGCGACGAGGTGAGACGATAATTTCATGTTTTAATTCACATTTTTTCCCATTTCTATAATCAAAACATGATATTATGTTCAAATATTGAATTAACCTATTTCAATAGAAAAACGAAACTTCATTTTGATTCTTTTGTTTCAGAAAACCAAGTGAAGTGCTTGGAGACGGGCGTAACCTGTTTATATTGGTTCGCCGTCACATTTCTCATTGAATTATTCTCAACATTATGAAATTGGAATAAAATATTCGCATTTGTGTCGATACGTGCGATGTTCCATTTTATTACGTCAGACGCGTATAGAAGTTGTTAGATCCATCTAAAGATATAAGAATGGACGAATCTGAGGATAACATGAGCTCTGAGGATCTGAAGTCTTCTGACAGCCCCATTACTGTCAAAGCAAAACCAAAGAAAAGGTCACTGATCGAACGTGAACTTGAGACAAATTTGACTGCTAGAGTAACTTCACCGGTGTCCACGTGTGATGGAACCAGCACTAGCCGTTATGGCAGAGCCCGTCGCCTCAAATCTGAGATTGAGCAATCTGATACCAAGAAAGCGACTACTGATCTAAAATCTCCATTGTCCGAGAAATCTCCAGTTAAGGTTCCATCTCCAGTTTACAAGATGCATGCATCAAACTCTCCTCTAAGATCTGAACAGCCAAAAACAATTGGAGTAGAAACTTTTTTGGAGAATCAAATTGAAAGTATTTATCAAGAGAACATATCTTTGAGCCGTTTTGCCACTGAGGAAGTTAAAAAGACAAGTCCATCTCCAGCTAAAAAATTCCCTAAGGTTTATATAAGGACAGACTTAATTCAGAAAAGGGAGGCTGATGAGAATGTTACAGTTATAAAGGACATGTTTTCGCCAGGTAAAAGTGCAAGCAAGTCTTCCAATACCCATTTAAATAACATTCTAGAAAGGTCCTCAGAGAGGTACAATATAGCATCCAAACAGCAGAATGGATTTTTAGACAATTCCTCTGTTGTTAAAACTCTGGATTTTGACAGTAAAAAGAAGAAAAAAGACAGTAAGGTTTGTCTTTCAAAGAGTGACTTGTTTGATTTAGAAGCCAAATGTGCTTACCAAGTGGGAGATCTAGCCTGGGCCAGAATGGGAACCTATCCATTCTGGCCGTCCATTATAACCAGAGACCCAGCAAATGGGATTTTTGTTAAAAAGAAATGTAAGTATTATAAAACTATTTAAAATGTCTCTGACATATTTGAATAAATATAATTTATTCTTTATTTATGTATGCATGTAGTTTTTATTTTTAATGTTGACTTCCTTTGACAATAGTACATTAAAAAAAAATATCATATTAACTACACTGAAATCTTCATTTAAATATATTCTCATATTTTAAGGTAAACTATTTATTGTTACAATTACTATAAAATTTATGTACATATGTGCTACATATTCCTATTGGATTTTTTTCTTGCAGACATATAAACAGGAAAAGTTATTTGTATACATGATACAGTGTGTAATTAAATAAAATCACAAATAAATTAAAAAATAATAATAACAATAAACTGAATAGAAATTTAACTTATTTATGTAAAATTATTAGATATATTGTAATAGTATTTAAAAAAACTAATTTATTTTTATGCATAAAAATACTAATTCATTTGATACATATGACATTATTAAAATATTTTTAATATGTAACATTAACAATCCAGAAGAATTAACTTGAAAATTACTGTTTTCTATTTGAAATGGACCTAAACAGAGTGCTATTTAATAATATTATTAAAACTTTTTTTTGATCATGAAACTATTTGCAGTAAATTTTATATTTAACTAGCTACTCCCATGAAAATTCACCATCTGCTTGGCTCCTTATGGTAGTAGGGTTGTTGTGTTGTTATGTTTTATAACCCAAGGAACATTGTATGTAGGTTCCAAGAACTACCACCTACATCACACATCTTACCTCTTTAAAATATTAGAAAAGATTTAAATATAATTTGCATTAAAAATATTTTATTTCTATATTTAAAACTCAACTTTTTTCTTCTTTTATTACAGTATTTGGCCGTATAGAACGTGACGTCATTCATGTTACTTTCTTCGGCGATAACGGACGCCGTGGATGGATTGTGGATACTATGCTTCGGAAATACCTTGGTCAGCTAGAGTTTGAGACTACAAGGGAAAACTTTACTCCTGAGGTGACTATTTGTAACTGTATGGTGTGGGTTCTATGTTTAGTGATTTCTGCTTAATATGTCGTGGGTCTTATTCCCACATAGAACTATAAAATTCTTTATGTTTAAAAAACATTTACAAGCTCTACAGCGCAAACTTTGCTACATTTTAGATACAAATCTGCGTCACTACACAAAGTTATCATGTAATATTATAAACAAAGTAGTTGTAACTAATAGATTGATATACTAATGATACTGATAAATAATTTATTTACTTAATATATAAAAAAATATGTATAAGTTTATGTTATGCTTTTGCAGTGCGATTTATTATTTCATCATCATCATCAGCCTATAAGTGCCCACTGCTGAGCAAAGGCCTCTTCTCACACTGAGAAGGTTTAATTAATTATAATAGTTTATTTCAATGATTATTTAGTAATATGTAAAAAATATATAGGTATTCATATAAAACTAGTTTAAACTGCTCTGTAAATTGCTAACATTGTTATTTGTACCTTGAATTCTATTTTATGCTCCATTAATAAGGGTTTTAATTTGCCTATGAACAAATTTACTAACTCAAACAAATCTTTATCTTTCTAGGACAAGAAAAAAGATCCGAGGCTGTATGCAGCATTTTTTGTGTCAGAAAAGAAACAAGCTCTATGGAATACTTCTGTGGAAGAAGCGGAGATGCTGCTGAGAGAGCCCAAGAGATTGAGAATAGACATCTTCAATGATATGCTAGAAAAGTCAAGGTCCAGAGCAAAACAACAAAAGAGTGGTAAAATTAGTAGGACAGACAGTGATGTATCTTTAAGTGAGAGTTTATATGATAGCTTGTTCTCTGAAGACGATGGTAAGGCAGACAGCACGGAACGTTCTAGAAACAGGACAAGGAACAAGTCTTTAGACGTTTTCGAAGTTGTCACAGCTTGCCTCGACAATATGGCCGCCAAAACTGGCATCACGAAGATCCAAAGACAGTCTCACATGGACAGGTGGCTACAGAAAGCCAAGTCAAAAACCCCAGAGAAAACACAGGCGAAATCACAAGTTCCTCAAATGAAATTAGATGATAAGAAAGAAACAAAAGTTATTAGTTCTAAAAAGAAGAAGAGTTTGTCTCGAGTTGCTGTCAAAAAGCCTTATAGTTTAAGAAAATCTATGACAGAATCCCAGACTCTGTTGCCTTTTCAAAATGAACATGATTATAGTAAAGTTGAGGCTACAGATTCAGATCATAACTCTACTGATACTGATAGCTGTAAGAATTTAGCTGCACAAAAACTGACTGAGAAAGGTAATGTAGATGACCCTATTGTTGTAGATAGTCAGAGTAGTGAACATGAAACTGAAGAAAGCCAAGCTGATACTGAAGAAGTCAATGCTAAAGAAACAGCAACAAAAGTAAATGGCAAATGTGATTCTGACGTTGAAACTATTAATGATGATTCCCAGGATCACGTTAGTATTACAAGTACGGCTACGTCGCCTTGTAAAACAACAGACGATGAACAAACACCAAAACAAGACGACAAAGAAAAAGAGCCAGCTTTTGAAAATGATGAAACCACAAAAGCCACGGTTATTGACAGAGATCAAGCAATGAGTCCAGTATATGAAGATTCATTTGATGAAAACAGTCAACATACAGACAGCCAAATTGATGAGAGTGAAAAATCGAGTGCTGAAAAGAAGCCAGAGTCTGTTGAAACAGATTCGCAAGATGAAATAACAAATGATACAATAAGCACTGAAAGAAGTTGCATATCTATGAATGAGGACAGTGATTATAAACCTCAAAATTGTACTGAATCTGAAGATGATAGTATGAACGCTGATATTTTAACTGACGATAGTATAGAAATGGTCAGCCTCGGTGAGGAACCCTCTAAATCTAATAATGGTATAGATTTATTGAGGGTTCAAGATAATAGTGAGAACGACGCAAAAGAAAATAAATTTACAACAATTAATAAATATCATTCTCCCGAAAACAGAGAAAATGAGGTTTTTAATCTTAATATTAAATCTAACAATGCAATATCAATATCAATCGAATCTAATAATAGAATGACAAGTATGAATATTGTTGAAACTCTCAAAGATGCTAAAGCAATGAATGGGCATGTCAGCGTCAAAGAAGTTGATATGGATGTCGATGAAGTTCACCTTCCTAGTCCTAAACCTCAAATTGTCGAAAATGGCTTCCATGATGCAGAGAAACATATGAATGGCGATGTTGATTCAGATGTCATATCTATCCATTCAGAAGATAGTGTATCCTCTACAAAGTCAGATGGAAGACGGAAATTACGTTCAAGACAAAACAAGAATCAGGACAGACCCTTAGAAAATCCAGAATTCGTGAAATATCTTGAACTAAGACAAGATGCGATAATGGATGAGAATCCAGAATTGAATCAAGATGAAATAGTAGCTTATTTATATAAAACTTGGCTCTATGAACAAAATTCTAAATCAGATGATAAGAAAACCGAGGATCTACGAGAATTAAATCTTGTCAAAGGACTTAACCCAGAGCCAATGGAGAAGAAGAAAGCGAAAGAAGTTGATCAACCGAAACAAAGACATTCACATAGGAAAAATTTAAGCCTAAACAGAAATATCATGCACAGATTTTTGCAAAGAAAAACTAGAGAAAAGCCGGTAGTTGATTCGATAACGGACAGTGATACGGAAAGTGTTAAAGACGTTGATTCACAGTCAGAAGAAGAATCGCCTAGATATAGTCCTATATTAAGTAAAGCAGATATTGAAATGCAAACTGATACACAAAGGTCAATGGAAGAAAAAATAGCTGAAGATCGTTCACAAGATGAAATTAATAGAATAGATACAATAGCGGTAAACAACCCACATACAAGTAATATAGTAAATGAGAGCATACAGACTGACAAAAGTGCATCACCCGTAACAGTTATTGAAGTTCAAAATAAACAAATCGATGAAACTGAGATTGCGTTAGGGTCACGTGTTGTCGCTCCGATAGATGAGCATATCAACGACGATGAAAATGAAAAGATGATAGAAAAGGAGCTAGAAACAATACTTTCAAAAGCTGATGACGTCAATAAAGAAATACAACCAATAGAACCGTCGAACGCAGTACCAGTAACACTGCCTGAAGAACCAGATGATAGGCTTAAAAGCGATTGTGATACAGAATCTCTTAATTCATTAGATAGTGAAACACCTCTTATTAAATGCAAGCTACGCTCCAAAAGCAAAAGAAATAATTCACAAGATGTAAAACCCAGAGATGATGAAGACACCATGTCTATTAACTCTGAAGGAAGCGAAGTATCAACAAAACGCAAAAAGAAATCTCAAAAGAGAGTAGAAAACGCCCTTGACGACCCTGAATTCGTTAAGTACTTAGAACTAAGACAAGATTCTTTGATAGACGAGAACCCAGAACTATCCCATGATGAAATCGTCTCTTATCTGTATCAAACGTGGTTATATGAAGAAAATACAAAATCTGAAATTAAAAAGAATGACGATATAGAACAATCTGGTTTAGTTAAAGGCCTCAAAGAACCTGTACAACAACAGCCCAAGAAAGTTAAACGTAAAGCTAAAACTGATAAAGAATCAGAAAAAGAGACCGATGAAGATGCCACGGTGAAAGATAAACCAAGACGGAAAGTGGTAAAGCCTTATTATAATGAAGAATTCTCTGATGTCGAAGAAGAACTTGAAGTCTTTCCAATATTTAATCCAAACCAACAGAGACTCAATGAAAACGGAGAAACAACTGAACCAATACACGAAGTAAATGACATTGATGAAGTAGAACTTTACTTCGAAGAACTAGCACGGCCGAAACCTAATGTTTTCAAAGGACTTATCAGAGAGAAAGTTTGCGAACTATGCGAGATGACTGGAAACCTAGTCAAGTGCAAAGGCTGCAATGGAATGTTTCACGTAGAATGCGTTAGTAAAGAAGTTGTAGAAGTTGAAACTCCAGCCCCGACTAGAGGGAGAAAGAAGAAGAAGAGGCCAGGAAGGAAACCTAAGATCTCCGATGAATTCGACAGCCAAGACGATAATACTCAGAATGTCTCCGAAGAAAACGCGTCAATAGAAGAAATTTTAGAATCAGAATCTCATACGGTCGACGCGGAAACTTTAGAAGCACAAATCGAGGCTAAAATGAAAGAGCTATTGGAAAACGAGAAGATCGATTACGATTCTTATTCGAGTGACGATGGCTGCGATTGGAGTGAAACGATACCAGGAAAATGCGAGATAATCGATATAAAACTAAAACCGAGACGTTCAAATGAGGTCGATTATTCGAATTTCAAATGTAAAAATTGTCAAAAGTATGATGTGCCAGTGTGTTTTGTGTGTAAATCTGCTGTGTCGAAGAATGAAGAGACTTTGAGACAGAAATGTCACGTTGCTCATTGTCATAAGTACTATCATTTGAAATGTTTGGATCATTGGCCACAAGCTCAGTTTAATGGAGGCGAACCATCGAAAACTAATAAGAAAATTAATGAGTATTTCGAAGCGCTAACTTGTCCAAGACATGTCTGCCATACTTGTGTGTCTGATGACCCGCGCGGTTGTAAAACGAGGTTCAGTGGTGATAAGTTAGCGCGATGCGTTCGTTGTCCAGCAACGTATCACTCGTTCACAAGATGTCTTCCCGCTGGTACGCAGATTTTGACCGCGTCTCATATTATATGTCCAAGGCATTATGAGCATAGGTAAGTGCTATTTTTCTTTTAAAATGTATGCCAAAAAGTCCTCTGTAATTGATCACCTAAAGTTATGTTTTCCAATTTTCAACCTTAGTTTTTAAATAATTAAGTGTGTAATTGAATGATATCGACTAAATCAAATTGTTATAAGGTCTTACTTTGTTTTTATTGAATTTTAAGTTTTATTTGGTAAATAATAAGGTATAAAATCTCGTGTTGACAGGCCCGGCAAAGTACCGTGTCACGTGAATACAGGGTGGTGTTTTATTTGCGCGCTGGGCGGTTCACTTATCTGCTGCGAGTACTGTCCTACATCCTTCCACGCCGAATGCCTTAATATTAAGCCGCCTGAAGGTAAGACTTAACTTAATTCTTTTTTATTATTGAAATCTGCATCATTATTTTTATATCTATACTAACACATTTCCTTTGGAATTTATGCTGCAATCCTAGAATGTTGGTCTGTGGTCAGACCAGTCGCAATAAAAATTCTTATACGCCTTTTAGTCTAATTGTCCCTAGTTTTTAAAATAGTTACAAATTCTTTTCCTACTGGTTTCTGCCAGAAAAAGTATCATATGTTAATAAATGTTTACGTGAAAAATTACAATCCAATGTTCACACACTATGCTTTAGCTTCTACCAGCGGCTTTGCCCGCGGTATATAGCAAATGTGCTATTTTTGAGTATATTCTAATATCTAAGCTAAATTATAGTCAAATTCGTTTAGTAGTTTTTCGTAAACTTGCTTACATAATTTTGCTATATGTATAATATTAATTGGATTAATGTTAAAAATAAAACAAGGGTTTAACGTTAATCAGCCTAAACTCGATATTTTTACTAGTCAGTAGTCAATGGTTCTAGCCATCATTATCAGGATAGCTTGATGTGGTACTGTATATTTTATAGATGGTAACATATACTTATATCTATTGCATGGTCTAATCTAATCTATCTGTGAGTTTCTTGACGATACAACAATACGGTAGTTTCCAACTAGTCAAATTCAATACTTTTATCCAAATGTCAAGAACGATACTTTCTATGAAACTCCAAATTATAACGTCACAGTATTTCTGCGTCAAATAGCTTACTTATATCTTAAAAAAAATTGCTAAAAATATAGTAAATTTAGTGACAGATAGATGAATAAAAGTACCTTTAGTTATTTTTCAATATGGTACTGTATTGAAACTTCGAATTAATTTACTTTTGACCTAGGAAACTACCTAAAATATAAGATTTTATTACATATTATTTCGTACCTAATCAAATTTTTTTTTTTAATTCTGTTCTGGTTAGCATAATAAAGGACTTTTGATGTTACATTTTTAACGTAGACACACGCTTACATATGATTAAATTACGTCATCACATTGTCGCGAGCCGGGAATCGAAGCCTTGACCTTGTAGAGACGGGACGCTCAATGCGGCGCGACTCGTCATAAATATACACATACATACATACAATCATTCATACAATTGTATTCAAATAGAATTTATTGTTGAATGGCTAATGAGAGATATTTTTTTAAAGAATATAGTTTGTATAGTTTTTGTGTGATTTATGGTGTTGACAAGTCTTATGGGATCAATAGAGGCGTATTTAGAAATTAACAGCCTTATTACAAATCAAGTTTTTATTTAGTCTAGCTCTTAACCATTTAAGTCAGTTTTTGTATTTCGAACTGAAGGTAGGTGGGAATAAGATTCAAAATACAAAACCTGACTCAATTGTTTAAACCTCGACTAAAGATAAATCTTGTTTTGTAATAAGGGTTTTTTTGTGAGGGGAAATCATCAAATGACTTCTCCCGCCCACGGCCGGGCGGGAGGGAGTGTCAGACTCTTACTGACTAAAAACCCCTCTGTTCCTTCTCCTGCTCTGGACCGAGGTCGCGGTGCCTCATTGCGCTTACGCCGCAACCCCGGCTAGTAATAAGGGGGTTACGGCCTTATTACAACAGGATTGAGGAACAGAGGAGACTTTATTTTATACTATGTAATGATTTGGCACATAGTTTATACTTACAAATTCTTTTCATATTATCTGGCACATAGTAGCTATCTAAAAATTATGTAACAGACTCACTTTGGGCGAGATTCACATTTTTGCTGACTATAAACCAGACGGGCCTTCTACTGCTCCTGGCGCCTCCTGCGCGGCTCCTCCGCGGTACATAATTGATCTTGCACCTTCCGCAACCCCAAGACCCGTCATATTAATGTTGATGAACTAAGTTCTTCGACACATTTGTCAGATCGATGTGATCTCAAAAACTGCCGTATACAGTTTCATGTGTTTCATTAATGATTCATAAGAACTGATTTCTTATTCATGTTTGACCAAGCACGTTTTTTCATAAATATAATTATTTGTTTCAGGTGGTTACATGTGCGAAGATTGTGAAACTGGACGCTTGCCGCTGTACGGAGAAATGGTGTGGGTAAAATTGGGACATTATAGGTCAGTTTTATTATTGACTACTAGCTTATTACTCGCTGTACAGCTCCTAAAAATCGTAGCTGTGTGTTAGCTTTCTCGATAAATTTATGACCCAACACAGTCGAACACAATTTGGACCCGTAGTTCCAGCCGTATACAGGCTTTCTCGATAAATTTTCTATGCAACACAATTCAAACTATTTCAAACCAGTAGTTTCGGGAATTAGTGCGATCAATCTAATAATTTTTTAAGATTTAAAATATTCATAGAGATTATTTTATGCATTCAAAGATAGGACTGCAAAGGCCAGTTGAAAGGTTGGGCTTCTTGGGACATTGTTTAGGTCTTTCTGGTGTCTAAATAAATAAATAAATGTATAATACATTTTACTCATTAAAAGTCACATTGGTTTCAAACCCTTTTCCATGAGACGGTCTTAATCCGGATCACGTCGGCTGATAATAATTTTATTCATTAATGGCTTAGTCAATGCAATTATTATTTATAAAATCTATATAATATGTCTTTATAATACACTAGCTACTCTCGCGCGGTTTTACTCGCTACTCTGCTCTATTTAATCGTAGCGTGATGTTTTATAGCCTATAGCATTCAGGAACATTGTAGCTATCTATCAGTGAAACAATTTTGGCAATCCGACCAGCGGTTCCAAAGATTACCCCCTAAATACAAACTTACAAATTTTACCTCTTTATTATATTAGTATAGACAAAAATTTTGCTTTACAGATGGTGGCCCGGTATAATTCTACATCCATCGGAGATACCTGAAAACATAATGGCGGTTAAACACAATCTCGGAGAGTTCGTGGTACGATTCTTTGGCCAGTACGATCACTACTGGGTCAATCGAGGACGCGTGTTTCCTTTCCAAGAAGGTAAGGGAGTTTTATCTTCTTCTTATATATAAAAATGGATCGCAAAATGTGTTAGTAATCGCATAACTCAATAACGCCTGGACCAATTTTGCCAATTCTTTTTTTGTTATGTACGTTATTATAAAGAGAAGGTTCTTACGAAAGAAAACTTTAGAAAAGTTAAGGGGAATAGAGGCAATTAACAACCCTTTCGACGCTGTGGCCGTTCGTTTGCAAAACAAATGACTGACACCGGGGTAGTCGGATACCCGTGCGGAGCAGGGGCGGTCTGCTAGTTTTTAATAAAATTGGTATGTTTCACGATAGTTACTATTCAAAAGTACAAAAGTACTTTCAGGAAAGGGCAGTAACGCGCCTGGACAAACCCCTGGGTTGGCTTTTGCCGCTATCTCGCCTGTTGTTAAGCGATGATACGACTTACGATGGAGATCTCCTACCCTAAATGAAGTATTCACTCGGGTCTTGAAGACACCTAGTTTTATTTCCGGGGACACAAAATCCATCGAAAAGTCCCACTCTTTAGTGAAGATGCTTCATGAAGCGGTGATGTTTTGCCGAGTCTAATGGTACGACCATATGGAAAGGTCGAGGAGGAATCAAGCCGTGCCGCTCCTACAAAAAGTATCCGATAAAAAAATCTAAAGATTTTGCAGCTTTGCGCCTGCGTAGCTTTGAGATGCGTGTTTCCCTGGTATTCAGCCGAGCCGTCCTAAAGTGCTCAAGGAGTGTACTATGTTATGTTTGAACTAGCTTTTGCCCGCGACTTCGTTCGCGTGGAGTAGTGGCTTCCTGCAGATTTTTGGTATAAAATCTATCCTATGTCCTTTCTCGAGTTCCAAACTATATCTGTACCAAATTACATAGAAATCTGTTCAGTAATTTAGGCGTGAAGAAAGGACAGACAGACTGCTCTCGAATGTATAATATTGGATAAAATAAGTTTGGATTATCTCATTTTGTTTTTAGGTGATTCCGGACGTATATCAAGTCAGAAGTCGAAGATCGACGCTGCTTTCACCACAGCTATGGAACATGCGCAGAGAGCCTGCGAAATATTGAAAGGTATGTTCATATTTTAGTCATCGTAAACAGTATTTTATTAGGAAGAAGTAAATGCGAATATTGTATAAAATCATTTTTTTAAAAAGAGTAACGATGGAGTTTCTTTTTCGTTCTTTTCCATTCGAATCTACCTACCACCTAGTTTCACTGACGAACAGACTGACAGACTACTATTCTATTTTGACGTTTCAAAAAAACCTATTTATGGTTTAGTTGGAATAAATGATTTTGGCTTTGAGTGTTTGTGAAGGGATTGGGCCTCCGGTAACCTCACTCACAGGGCAAAACAAAACGCTGTGGTTGTATCACGCTGGTATCTGTAAGGCCGTGGTATCACACCGGTCAAGCCGACCCATTCGTGCCAAAGTTTGGTTCTTCTAAACTTTTAATAGTGTAGTTTCCTCATCGGCTATGCTCGATACTGATAATATATGTTTCTCTTTTTGGATTACAGCTGCACAACCAAACGAGGAAGAATCCCTAGACATAGCATCCTCCCTCTTACCTCCTCACTACGTGAAGCTGAAAGTGAACAAACCGTGTGGATCTCTCTGCGGGAGGAAGCTTGAGGATCCTGAGAGCTCCCTCACTCAGTGCGAGTGTAACCCTAACGATGACGATCCTTGTGGACCTTACTCGCAGTGTTTGAATAGGTATGTGATATTTTTTTTATGGTTTGGATGATTCAATATATCTTATATTACTTCTTACTAATATAATAAATGCGAAAGTTACGATGTTTGGATGTTTGTTACTCAATCACGCCAAAACGGCTAGACGTACAGTACAGCCGACGTATATTGGCGCGTCTGAAGTTAGCCGTTTGTCTGCGCAATGGATGTTTTAGGAACAAAATTGTGTACTGCGTAGCTAATCGGCTATCTTCAGACTCGCCAAGATACGTTGACAGTATTGTATCTAATTTGGCACAGGCATAAGATACACTCTGAAATAGGATATAAGCTACTTTTTACCAACTTACCACGTGGGCGAAGCTGCTAGCGGTAGCTAGTTGTTCAATTATTCAATAGCACAGCCATAGCGACAATGGCGCTTCGTCATCCTTTTTTCGCACTAAAATGAACTAATTTTAACTCAGTTTTTTTAATTTTAAGTATAAAAAAATTGGCGGTCGTGTGTGACGAAAAAACTTATGGAAACAGTGTAGCACTAGTAGCATAATTCTCTGTATTTTTGTCTTAAATTACGTACACGTGTATAAGTTTGCATGACGCGGGAGCAAAAATGTAGACAGAGACAACTGTTGGGCATAGACGCCCCCAACATTAGGATAACAAGCAGACGGATTATCTGATGGTAAGCAATCGGCACCGCCTATGAACACCCGCAACAACAGAGGAGTTACGTGTGCATTATGCCAGTCTTTTGGGGATAAGTGTTTGGGAGATTTAGGGATTGAGAAGGAAGGTTGGCTCTGCTTTGGCAGTTTGTTCAATGTCTTTAAAGTACATACGTCGAATTGTGAAATTGTAAGACATGATATATTTCTTCAATAAAACAATAAAAAAAAATTCGTTCATTCATTTTTTTTGTTTCGCAGAATGTTACTAACGGAATGCGGGCCAACTTGCAAGGCGGGCGATAGATGCAATAATCGCGCCTTCGAGAAGAGACTGTACCCAAAGTTAGTGCCTTATCGGACTCCCAGTAGAGGATGGGGCCTTAAGACGTTGGAGGATATTAAAGCTGGTACGTTTGAGGCCCGCTTTTTTTATTATACAAGCTTTTATTTAACATTTAACCTATGTTTTTTATGTAATAGGACGGCAAACACTTGGATCGATTACCTGATGGTAAGCAATCAGCGTGTTAAGAGTGCGTTGCCGACCTTTTGGGATAAGGGATTTGGAGATTTAGAGATTGGGAGAGGGGAAGTATTGACATTCCTGTAACCTCACTCCCACGGTGAAACACGAAGCTTTGGTTGTTTCACGTCGTTTTTTCTATGAGGCCGTGGTATCAGTTCGGTCGAGCCGACCCAGTCGTGCCGAAGCTTGGCCCTTGGTTGAAGTACAAGAAGTGTGGGACACTTCTTGTACTTCAATGTATTTCAACTTGGGTCAAAGTTCTGTGCTGTCGGTAACGCGCGCGCCTAAACCGAGTAAATATCAATATTATCACTGTCACGTGTGACACACTGTATCGTGTCACTGAAGTTAGAAACTTAGGCGTGCAGACCTACATTTTAGAAAAAAATTCACCAAAGTTTGTAAGAAAGGACACAGCAACATAGGAATGAATGATGAATTATCTTTCTAGCTAGTCATCATCTGTGTTTTGAGGTCAATATACACCCTGGTGAAAAGTCATATGGCATGCAATGCATAAACGATATTATATGACTAATATGCAAATGCATATTTAACGGATTAATCAATCCTTAGTGAAATAAACTATTTGAATTTTGAACATTGATACAATAGTATTATACAGTCGGATATTGGTACGATTTAATTAACATAACATTCTCGAAACAGGACAGTTCGTAATAGAATACGTCGGCGAGTTAATAGACGAGGAAGAGTTCCGTCGGCGCATGCGCAGAAAGCACGAGATCAGAGACGAAAACTTTTACTTTTTAACGTTGGACAAGGAGAGAATGATCGACGCCGGACCCAAGGGAAATCTAGCTAGGTACGTTGCTTTTTTTATGTGATGTTCAGCGCCGCCCTTGGACAATCGGACAAACCAATGGAGTTACTACAAGTGCGTTGCCGGCCAAAAAGTCGTCCCACAATAGAGGGTTATTAGGTATTTAAGGATAGGGGATTTGAAAATTGAGGACAGGGGGCGAGGAGGGGGTGGGGGGAGGTTGAAAAATTGGGCCTCTCACATCACACCACACACCACAGACGGGGCCCTATAGGGCTGATGTTTTTAAGGTCGGCAAACGAATTGAAAGATTACTTGATGGAAAGCAATCAACGCCGCCCGTGAACACTCGTAGTACCAAAGGTAAAGTAAAACAAGAGCTTTGCCGGCCTCTTGGCGTTATTAGAGATTTAATATGTTGTGTTTTATTGCGATAGTTGCGGAAGTTCCTGAGCGTTGATTCTTGGATCTTTGTCTTGAAACGACATTCAAGATTTACTAAATCTTTAAGCAGATGTATTGAACCAATTGAACCGAATTTTTGTTTACACGTTTTGCATAACAATAAATGCAATGCATTGCATATACTGTATTAATGTACTCCAAATCTCTTCGCTAATTTGAAAAACAATCTATAAACTTTAGCTCCAGGAATTATTAACGCACTAGGTATGTTTTTAAAGAGTATTTTAATGAATTAATTTTCGAAATACTTTACTTCCCACTAGTCAACAGTCTCCCTTACGAACTACTTTCACTTTATTTTGTCCTGTTGATCATTCCATATCATTATTTGCAGGTTTATGAACCATTGTTGCGAGCCAAACTGTGAGACGCAAAAATGGACGGTGCTCGGCGACGTACGAGTTGGATTGTTCGCTCTCTACGATATACCAGCTGTGAGTATACAATCTTAATATTCTTCAAATACGTTTGACATAAAAAATGGGTAGTTTCTTAGGTCATAAATTAATTAATTCGACGTTTCAACAAAACAACATCATCATGACTGCACGGTTGGTGCGCTGGCTGGGCAACTGGCTGCCGTGCAAAGTGTCGCGGGTTCGATTCCCGCACGGAACAACTCTTTGTGTGATCCACAAATTGTTGTTCCGGGTCTGGGTGTCATGTGTATGTGAAATTGCATGTTTGTAACCGCACCCATGACACAGGAGAAATTCCTAAAGTGGGGCAACGTTTTAAAAAAAAAATATTGAAAAGTCACTATACTTTTATTCATCGATCGATCGATACACTAAGTATTAAATATTTTATAGCTAATTATTAAGAAATAAGTAAGCTATTTGACGCAAAAATACTATGACGTCATAACTCAGTTTTTCATACACTTCATAGAAAAGTATCGTTTTTGACGTTTGCATAAAAGTATCGAATTTGACTATTTGGAAACTACCGTATTGTACCTATCTACGATCTTATAGGAGTTGCAGTGGTTTTGGGAAGTTGAGGCGAGCTTGACCCATTAAAAAGGCTTTTTCTATTCCGATTCGTTGTTTAAAGGTTTATTTACATAACTGTTTGACGAGGCATTCGACTAGTTTCAAGCCACGATACGCGCTTATGTTCCTAAGCGACATTGCCCGATATACATTCCGGCAACCGTTGCGCAAACAACTATCTCGATTTTTTACGCCCAGCGCCGGATAGACAGCGCGGGCAGACTTGTATTTACAGTACTCTAATTTATCTAGAACAATTTAAATATTCATTATACATCATCATCATCATCAGCCTATAACTGCCCACTGCTGAGCAAAGGCCTTAACACACGAAGAAGGTTTGGGCATTAGTCACCATGCTTGCTCAAGGTTATAAGTCCAGCTTTTCTCTCGGAAGTTTTTTTTCACCGTCTTTCAGTGGTGTCTAAATAATCTTTGAATATTTGGAAGTAATTCATTATACAATTACATATTATTTGATAAACTAAAACAATAAGACGTTGTCTTATGTATCCCAAAAGTCAGTTACAGTAACAATTAGTTTTCATAACTTACCGCGGCGGCGGACCAGGAGTAGTAACGGGGATGTTTTTAGTAAGAGTCTGACATTCCTTCTCACCGCACCCTTAATGATTTTACACCTAAAAAATGTTTTAGCCTTCCTTTTTCCTTTTTCTTGAGTAGGTACGGCCCGGAGGTACGGAAGTCCTTAGTCAGTAAGTCTGACACTCTCACCCCATCAAGGGCGGGCAGTTGAAAATAATCTCCTCTAAAACTCCTTTATATAACCCTTTATATTTGCAAATGAATTACTATTTTGAAATATTGTTGTTATTGAAGAAATACGATTACAAAAAAAATTTTTTATTGATTTTTGAAACTCTACCTTTACAGAACAGTGAAGTGACATTCAACTACAACTTGGAGTGCGCCGGCATTGAGAAGAAACGGTGTATGTGTGGAGCCAAGCGGTGCTCTGGTTACATCGGGGCCAAGCCTAAGCAGGTATGTACTATTTGTACAGAAACTATCCTATATATACAGAGTGTAAAAAGACACTTAACGAAGCCGTTAACTACGCATACTGCTGTTCTAACTAAGTAGCTTTACCCTAAAATTATCACTGGGAAACTAATTTTATTGGTAGGTATCAAAAAAAAAAAAATGTTGCGCGCAATGTAAAGCAAACGGGCTTCGTGTCATTTTGTGCGTAGGTTCACAGCTTAGCATTAAAACGCTGTGATAAGTACGTAGGTCGACGTTTTACTTCGCAACAACAAAACAATTCTGTAAAATAAAAATCCTTCTGAGATGCACGATGTTTTTTGTGCGGGTCTGCATTTATTTATTACGTACATTACTGTTCGTAACTTCAAATGCGTAATTTATTTAGAAAAATCGAAAATTCAGGTAATGTTTGTTTGGAAAAAAGTTTTGTAATAATACATAGAAATCGATTGCGCAAAAAATAATAATTAAAAATGCATCTTTGACCTTCAATATCTCGAGAAGCCGTGGAGTCCCAGCTATGGTCTTAAAGAAAAAAATGATCCAAATAATATGTAAAATACGTGGCTTTCGGCTTCGTTAAGTGTCTTTTTACACCCTGTATACTAAATAATTGAAAATAACGAAAGAACACCCTTGTTTTATTTTAGATAATTTTAGTGGATTTATTGTAGGTACTTCGTTGTCATTCATGTTTGTCTTATTTCCGTTGGGCGAAGAAAGTTTTTTTATATATAAAAATATGTAAAAACTTATTATTTATGGCTTATTTATAGTATTTCTACTTAAACAAGTATACAATATATCCTATATAATTCTTTTACTTGCCTAATCTCCTTTTAAACATTGTCTGTCAAAGTTTAAATTAAATAGGCACTATAGCCTATTTTTTTAAATACTAGTAATAAGAATACCCTATACTAGAATTTCTCATCTGTTGTGTAAGTTTCTATAAATAAGCCGTACTTAACCTCTCGTCTGCCAGTATATGAGACAAAATAGAAAATACTATGTGTCTTCGCTTCCGTCGAGCATGGATCTCCCAGTATTATTATAACTAAACAATAAAATATATTTGCAGGAAGAATCTCATTCGAAAAAACCAAAACTACCCGGCAAACGGACATACAAGAAACGAAAACCGGCAGAGGAGTCGCCTTCAACGAAAAATAAGCCAAAAAGACCAATCGGGCGCCCTCCTAAACCGAGAGAATTGACAGAAATTGAAAAGGACCTCCTAATTATAAGAAATGCGACCAATGGGATATCTAGCGACGAATCAACTAGAAGTCTTAGCTCAGACTACGAAAGACATCCGAAGGCCTTGAAAAGGAAACGGGTTAGCTTCTCAACTGAGGAAATTATTTTATATGACGGCTCAGAGTCCCCTAGCGTCAAAAAACATAAACTAGAAGATCGAACCGACGTTGGAGATTGAAAAACATTACTGTTAATCTATAGGAAAGAGAAAGCTAATTTTTATATAGCGTTCTCTTTTCCACAGATTATTATGTACTGCTTAATAAGAGTGCAAGAAAGAGATAGCTAATTTGTATATAGCTGTCTCTGTTACACATGATTTTGATGTTTTGATTTGAATGCAGCTTGATTTAAAAGTTAATCTGCATACCTATTATATTTATCGGAATATGTTAATTGTTAGTTGTATACATTATGATGTTGGTATGTGTTGGTTTTGATAGTAATATGTGTATATATATATATAGAGTTCTATTTAAAAATGGTAAGGACGCACACTAAGATGCTTCCAATTTAAAATTATCTTATGAAATTTAATTTCAGTAATTTATTCTAAGTCAACTTAGTTTTTCTTCAGTGTTGGAATCCTAGTTATGAAGAATATACTACTTATTTTTTCTAACTTATTCTTTTTATCTTTTTTTTTGATGACTCTATGCCCAGCTCAGGCCCACATGCTATTTATTTCTTTATTTATTTTTAATTCCTTGTGCTCGAAACCTATATGGATGGACATAATACCAGTAGGCCTACCATGACGTGTTTAAACGTCAATCTTCCGGGCGAGAAAGAGGGATGGCGCTATAGAAGGTGTATAGCTCCATCCCTATTACTCGCTCATACCCATATATGTATGGTGGTAGGCATAGTAGGTGCATTATTGTAGGTATACCATAAAATTTCCTTTAGTTTTGATTTAGTATAGTGGCTTATACATATCAATCAATCAACTTTTTTGATTTAAGACTTGATTCATCACCTTTATTTAATATCCCTATATTAAAGGTATGTGGCAAATTGTAACAGTTTAGAAGTTACCACAGCTGAGGAAGCTCTCTTCTCACACGGAGAAGGATTGAGAATTAATCAGGCACACTTTCCTAATTATTTTGATTGGTGATTTCAAACTCCAGGTTTCCTCACGATGTTTGCTTTCACCGTTTGTCAGTGGTGTCTAAATATACTTAGAAAGTACGTGTAACTCGGAATAAGTCACATTGATAATTGTCAGGTTTCGAAGCCGCGCCTCACATGGGAAGCGGGTGTCTTAACCTCCGGTTTGAACCGACATTCCTTTTTTCATCCAGATATTGTGATACAGAACCTCAATTTATTTTGTTTCTTTTTCTTTTAATTTATTTATATGCTTCTTCAGGTTATTATTATTATTAATAACGACCATTATCTGCCTTTTGTAATCTAATGGTGATGCAATAAATCAATAATGATTAATTCCAGTTATCGGATATTTCTTGTCTTTACTACATACAGGTACAGATTTAAAAACAATTTGTCCGTACTTATTATAAAATGTTTGTACATTTTTCGTTTAAATACTAAAATAATCTAGGCTTTCATTTTTTTATGTATATTCTTGTTTCAAAAAAAAAAAAAAAACAAATTTAACGTTGTTTTGGGCTCGAGTCTATCTTTACATTTGTTACAACTTAACCAACACAAACCAACAGAAAAAAAATATTTAACAAAGATTGTGTTATTTGTATATACTATAGATTAGACTTAGAAACAAATATATCAGGAAACGAATGTAGTCTGAAGCGATTAACGCCTTTACTGTATAGGTAATTAAGTTCATAATACTGTAACAATGTTCGTTGCCTTACGACCAATTTGTTGTTAAATGCCAAATTTGTTAATTTTAAAGGCTAGTAATGTATTTGTGGACAAACTGTGATGCAAATTCTAAGGTTTTTTTAGCTTGTGTATTGAAATTTGTATGCGAGTTGAAATATATTTGTTACCCAAATGATGGAACGGATAGGGTTTTGTCAAGACATAATTAATAATTAAGTTAAATAAAATATTAAAATTTATGATCTTGTTTTATTTGTAATAGTGGCTAACTAGTAGGCCGATTGCCTAATGGTCAGCAATCTTCGCTCATGAATACATGCAAGTAGAGTTCACTGTTAGCCTTTTGGGTTTCATACTATTATATATTTAAGGTTTGGGGATAGGAGGGAAGGATTGGGTCACAGTGTCAGACTCGTCATCATCATCATCAGCCTATATATAAGTGCCCACTGCTGAGCAAAGGCCCTTCTCACACGTAGATAGGAGCATTAATCACCACGCTTGCCTTAAGCAATAGCGGTATAACGATTTCAAACTTGAATTACACTCAGTGATATATGATTCAGACACATCTCTTGGTATAAACTAAATCTTTACGAGCGCTACTTACTAAAAATTATAAGTCCAGGTTTCCTCACAATGTTTTCCTTCACCATGTCAGTGGTGTCTAAGTTAAAATCGACAAAACTCACATTGGTACTTGCCAAGTTTCGAATCCACACCCTCATGCATGAGAAGCGGGCGCTTTAACCTCCGGGCCACCACGACACGACAACTCAGACTCTTGCTGACTAAAAACCCCTCCGTTCCTTCTTCTACTCTGGGCCGAGGCTGCAGTACCTCATTGCGCGTAAGCCGGAATACAACTGCGGTTTTCTGTGAGAAGCCAGCCCGCCCAATCGTTAGAAGGCATGGCTCTCCCACACTTGAATGATTTATTTAAGGTGTGTGTGGTGTTATGTTATGGCTTTTATATAAATAAAATTAAACGCTTACGTATCAAATGAGGAAACGACTGCACGTCTATTGTGTTCAATTACCGCAAGGAACAACTTTGTAATCCAATAAATGCGTTCAATGTGTATGTGAAACTAGCTGCCGCCCGCGGCTTCGCTTGCGTGGTATGTAGATAAAAAGCAACCTATGTCCTATTCCGGTTTGTATTTTAGGCCTGTGCCTTTCAGATTCAGAACCGTTTTTTATGTAGATAATAGGTCGGCAAACGAGCAGACGGATTACCTGATGGTAAGCAATCAGCGCCGCCCATGGACATTCGCAACGGAGAACTTAGGATTGCGTTGCCGACTTTTTAGGGATTACGATTCCGAGTTTTGGAGATTTAGGGATTGGGGAGGAATTGATTGGGCCTCCGGTAACCTCACTTACACGGTTTACTGTGAGGCCGTGGTATCAATCCGGTCGAGCCAACCCATTCGTGCCGAAGCATGGCTCTCCCAGCCTTTTCACCACCCAGCCGTTTTGGCGTGATTGAGTAATACAACATCCAAACATCGTAACTTTCGCATTTATATTAGGTAGTAAGATTGTGTTTTTTCAAATAAAACCACAAAATCAAGTTACACTAAGATGTATAATAAAGGTCAATGTACAAGTAGCGTATAAGAAGAAAACGATGGCGTACAATATTTTATACCTAGACTCATTGATCATCATGATTATTTTGTATCTCTTGTCGAATAACATATCCGAGCACCATAGGAACTGGAACAAAAATTGAATTAAAAAATACTATAAATCCCAATGTGACCCTTTTTACACAACTGCCAAAAAAAGTGTGTTATGTTTGGAGGGTTCATGTATGTATGTATCACAGATTACAAAGTTTTATAATCTGTAGTATGTAGGTATGTGATTTTCTGCGGGTGTGATAGGCTAGTCTATGGAGTTGCTGCATAGCAAACCCATTAGTATTTTAAAAGCGCTATAAGATAGCGCGGCCTCGGCCTGGGGCAGGATAAGAAACGGGGGGTATTTTAGGCATTAAGAGCCTGACTCTCCCTCCCGCCATATCCTTCGAGACAGAAGTCATTTGATGACTACTTACCTCCTCCGAAAGTAGGCACATAAGTATACCTACCCTTACCTACCATACTAAATACTTAGATTAACACTAATTATATCATATAGGTATAACGCAGACCATGATTTTCATTTTTTTTTGCACACAGAGATCAGTTTGAATGTGCACGTTAAAAAGGCTAACTCAGTATTGAATTGAAGGAAACGTAAAATCATTAGTACTTACAGCACCAAAAAATGCAAAAAATATACAACCATTTTTTAAACTAAAAGTATAACTAAATTTCTCAGGATCATTCGCATCTAAAAATTTCTTTATCATCTTGATTTAAGCGTTATTTTGTTGTACCTTTATAAATGTGTAATATGAAAACAATAATAATATTCAAATTGTTGTAGTTGACACTTACAAAAGTTTCAAGTTTAGACGTTTGACATGTCATGTCAATTGTCAAATCAAATCGCCAGAGGCACGCAAAAGAGGTTTGTAACTTTTAAAACCGGTATGGAATTTATTCAAGAAAGTTTTTAATGTGTTTCTTCGATCTATGACTTTTCTTTTCGATTTGATTTTGAAAACTTTAGAACTAAAAGTATTTAAAAGATGCTTTTGTCTAAACTTGAGTCCTCCCCCTTAAGTGACAAAAATACCTATGTACGTATCTACTTATAAATAGGTATAAGTTTTAAATTTCAGCTGGGGTTGCGGAAAAAGTCTGACACTCCCTCTCGCCTCACTCTGGGCGAGAGAAATTATTTAATGATTAAACCTTCTTACATAAGGTTCTCTCCTTAAGTCTGTCCTTAGGTATCTGGTATGCCAGGCATGCTGTTATAGCAGCGGTAAAAACCCCTTTCTGAGAAGTCGCTTGAGACACGCCATGGCGTCCTTAGCTTCTGCCTGAGGCAGGTGCTTACCGGGCAGGTAAGTTTCTATTTCAGATCCGGAGAGAGGAAACGCCCGAGTATCGTCATTGTGAGGACCACCCTGAGGACACGATAGAGCATACGGGGCTTACGTGGCGGTGTGCCCCGCTTGGGCTGAGGAAGTGATCGACGGCGGCGACTTTTCGCGCCCGGCCTTAGTCGAGGCCATGGTGCGGAGCGAGAGGAACTAGGAAGCCGCCTGCTCTTTTTGTTAAGCAATTATGCTCGCAAAGAAGGAGGCGGAGTGCGTGAGGGACCTATTCTCCTCTTCACGCCCTAGCCGCCGCAGTAGGTGACACTCCGGGCGTCGGGGATCGAGAGACTATCTCAAGCTACCGTAAGTGCGGGTCTGCGGACGGGGAGTACGGGTACTGATGTTCAGCCGGGGTTGCAGGTTAAGCGCAATGTGGCACCGCGACCTCGGCCTAAAGCAGAAGAAGGAACAGGGGGTTTTTTAGTCAGTAAGAGTCTGACACTTTCTCTCGCCTTACTCTGACTTTGTGTGATCCAAAAATGTATGTTTCGGGACTGGATGGTTTGTGTCTGTCATTTTGTATGTTTTGTAAACGGATCAATGACACAGGAGAAAACCCAATTGTGGGCTAATGAAAAGGTAAAAAAAAGCATAATGTGCATTTGTTTACCCTTTTACGGAGGGAAGGCGAGACGTTGTGTTATTTTGTTACCTCGAATAATAACATCAAGCGATGAACCCCGTCGTCCAATATCCGTATAGAAATTAGGAAACTCCATTTGTTATAACGAAGACGTTTATTTCTACACCGAATACAGTAAAGATGAAACGCACTTTTATTATTAATGGAAAACAGCTGAGTCAACGGGAAAAGAATAAGAAACTCCTTTCTAACAGTTATGAGAGATTTCTGGTAGTAAAGTTTCTTTTAGAAATCAGGATGACTCCTCATACTGATTAGCTTGCATAAAGAGATTCATTAATGTAAGTGCACCGAAAAGCTAAGCCAGAATCGAGTCATTTGACGTTTTATTGTCTTTTTTTTAAAGGTCAAACGATTAGGTGTATTACTTTATGGTAAGCAATCGGCGTCGCCCATGGATAGATAGCCGCAACACCAAAGGTGCTCACTTACATGGCGAAACACAACGTTATGGTTGTTTCACGCCGGTTTTCT